TTAAAGGTCCGTATTTGCTCTGCTCCCAATTTGTTTTGTTTCAATATGCTTGATTACTGTTCGTTATCTTCATATTCCATTCTACATTTTTGCTCCGATTTCAATGAAACTTTGTCCACAGGTAAACTACTCTACATGTACTTATATGTTTCCAGAGTCATTAATAACAGGGTTACTTATGTTTCTGATGTTTCTGTTTATCGTGTTTTTTTTTTATTTCAGAGAATGGTATTGTCATTGTTTATAACAATTGGATTTTCTGTGAAAATTTTTCGAGACTTTACTTCTCCTACATTTTTAGTCCGATTTCAATGAAATTGACACATGTACACAAATAGTCTATACTTAAATAAATAATTCTATATATCTATTTTGAAGTTTCCATTGTTTTTGAATATTAGATATCTATGTCAATTTTTTTCAAAACACTTCTCCTCTTTCAGTTTTGTCCTAATTTGTATGTAATGAAAAAGACGAAGAAACAAACAGTGATCGATCTAAAACAAAACAAAAAAAAAAAAAAAAAAAAAAAAAAAAAAAACCTAAAGACAATAAAAATCTTGAGCAGGGCATAAAACACGGACCCCCTGGATATTTCAGAGGTGCGATCAGGAGGTGCCTAGGAGGAATAAGCACTCCCTGTCAGCCGGTCACATTCGCCATGAGCCCTTTGTATTGATCAGGTAGACGTAATATTCCGTAGTCAAATTTAGTATATAACCTAGGAAAGAGATATATTACTTAATAGTACACAACTATTTTATTCTGGGTTTCAATAAACAGTGTTGCATTTTTAATAAAGAAAGAATAAAATTCATTCAAATGCATTTTTTTCAAAATGGTGCAATTCTTTCAATTTAAATGCATTTTTTCAAAATGGTGCACCTCCTACAGTTTTAACCTGTTTTCAATAAAACCTGGTCCACTGGTATACTAATCAATGGCTCATAATTCTATTTATCGATGTTGTTTTATAAAAACATAGTTGTGTAAATGTAAAACTGAATAAAAAGTGTTAAAAGTCCTACAAGCTATCTTTGTCTTCCTTTATTATAAATACAAACCAGTTGGCTATAGTCTTATAAGAGACTTCTGGTTTTCGCCATCTTTTGTTAGAAATAAATCATTTAATTGACCAAAGGGTTGTTCTAATTAAAGGGGGTCCAAAAATCAAATAAAATCATTTAACTGAAGATAAAACAGAAAATAAAAGGTTCAAACTTGACATCAACAATGTTAATTAAATTAGGAGAACAAATTTTTGCGTGAATGGAAGAAAAGATCAAATTGTTTTCCGCACTTTAGTTGTTAAAACCAGCTCTTGATTTGCTGATTTTGACAACTTGTTACGAGATTATAGAATTTTTTTCAAACACATTTCCGTCTTAAATTACAGGATGTCGAATGTTAAATTAATTTTAAAGTGGTTTTGAACAATTCTAGACGTGTACCGATATGATTGGACGTGGTTTATATTCATTACCAGTTGTCATCAACTTCAATCAGGTTTTCATTAGAGAGATATGACTTAGCAAGATTGATTCTTTTTAAGTACATTTGTAGAGAAGTAAAGCTTAAATTACAAAATATTGAAAACCCTTATTCTTTGGTTATTTATTTGACTTAGTTAATTGGCTAGAAATTGGATATAAGATTTTGATATGTTTCATTTTTGCCATGCACCACTTTTTTTTTCTCACAATGCTGTAAACCTAATGTGCATGTGAAATGTCAGTTCATCTTTACATTTGGAATAGGGATGATTTCCACTTTTTGTTTAAAAAAAAGATTCATTTTTCATGCCGTTAATTTTAAAGATGGAGTATCTAATTTTAATTGTTAATAAGCAATTTAAGTTAGTGGAGTATACATTTAGTGTTTTTTTTCCATAATGACAAAAATTCATTAGACCGTGTAATTATTTTTGTTACATTTTTTTCCATCTGTCACAAGCCCAATGTTCTATGATGATGCATGTTTGCTCTAAAACAGGATAACATGTTTAACTGCCAAGAAAATTGTGCAAACACTTTAATTTATTATCAATTTCATATTTTAAATTCATTGTTACATAATAACAAATGTGACTTTTAAAATAAAAAAAAAATAACTCGACTCTATCTTGCTAATTGGGTTATTGAGATTTCTCATATAACATTTATCATTTCAAATTACGAATCTATAAATCAAAGGCACATACACACTTTCATTAGAATTAGTTTTTGTATATACTGAATTTGCAATTCATCATCATTAAATGTCATATTAGATCAAATACTTATAAGAAAGAGAAATTAAACAAGGAAATATTTGTTGAAGTAAAAGAGTCATTGCCTTTAAAACTCCTGTTTCACTGTAGATTGTGGATAGAATTACACAACACATTGTTTAATCTTTTTGTATCGTGTTGGGACATTTTTTAAGTGTTGTCTTTCTAGTGTGAAAATTTTTAAGAAAATAACATTTTGTATCCAGTTCTTCATACACAACGATCAGTGAATAATAAAGTTGCAAGACTTTATATCATAAGAGCATTACAAGAGCATTTCTTATGATTACATTGTAAATCTGGCGACTTTTTATTCCAGAAAAGGTTGTACGTGTATATCCATCTGGCATATTTACAAATGTAAGTCTTTCAACGAAATCGAGTTTCCCAGAATTACCTTTTTTCCCGGAAAATCCAGCACTTCTTAGTTAGTTCTAACTTGTTTCTATGAATCCACTCTGAATTTTGTACGCATTTTTAACATGCCAAATCACCATTTTTGCAAAAAATTGTTGATGCTGTGAAAAATCAAGATAATGAGTTATTTTACTATTTTGGGTAACTTCTTGATATTAGATTACAACTTGTATGCTCATGCCTTTTACATGTATGTACAATTTTTGCCCATTTATGCTCTGTTTATTGAATTTTCAAAGTGCTTCCTTATATTTAGCATTTTTACTTATTTAGCTCATATTTGTTAGTTAGCAAATTGCAAGACGAAGAAATTTTTTTTTTTCGTATCTGTTCATTTTGTTTCGCAGTTTACCCAGGCAATACGTCGTCATTTGCTACGATTTTATAATGAATATGACTCCTAGGGATTCTACTCATACATGTATTTGAAATTTCGGGGTTTTTTTTTTTATCAACGAGCTCATAGAGTCAGTTTTGATCTGAAGAAATATTTGTTGAAAAAAAGATGAAATAATAGTCCAAGTGTGAAGCAACGCATGTGCATTTATAAAATATTTCTGTCACTTCTTAAGAAACCATGACATTAGGCATAAATAATAAAGACACAAAACTACAGATACAGATTTATGTAACAATCATAAAAGAAATGAATTATACATTAACAATTTCTTAATTATTTCAGAGGGAAAAAATTATATCCGGTATTCAGTTGTCTTTTTTTCTACGAAATATATTAGCTTGAAATGTCTACAAGCCACATCCATGGAGTAATTGATTTATTTACCCATTGTTACATGTAGGAGTTACAGTAATATTTTCAAAACTTGTTTATATAACTGATAATATGCTATGTGAAATTATGAATAAAAACGAGCTTTGTCCTCAATTTTGCACAGTATATTAATTAGTAAAACATATAAGATAATTATAATTATTCGACTGTCAAAGAAATGTCACTTTCATGGACAAAAGTAGCATAGCGTGATATTTTAGAAACCATTTGCATTTTCTTTGGTGTAACTGGGGAATTTCCTTTTATACTATAAAATAATTGAAGTTAAAGGTGCATAGACAAAGATTTAAAGTTTATATTTTCTCAAATTTTCTGTATAATACATGTATCACAACTTATATGTTGCTATAGCATTTTACACGAAAATAAAATTAAAAACTTATTTAATCTTGGAATTATTGAAACTACGAATTTCGGGAGGCGTTTGATTAACATATCCTTGCACTTTCACAATTTTTAACTTTATCCTTAATACTTAAGAAAAGTAGCAATTTTGTTGTGTATTAATGAATAATATTACATCTATAATCCAGAAAATTCAGAGTAAAAATGTGCGAAAGCAAAACCCACTCACTTAAGCACTGTCAACCTGTGCTCAGTGTTGTGTAGTTGTGTACAGAGTTTAACAAATTGACTACACCCGTGAAACGTAAACTGTTTTTGTAAACAGGGCACGAGCTCTGTTGTTGTTAATGTTTACGTTTCACCGGGTGTGTTCAATTGTTAAACTCTGCGCACACCACTGAGCACGGACTGACAATACTGGTGAGAGGATTTTGCTTTCTACATTTCTACTCTGAAATTTCTGCATCATAGTTTTAATAATTTTCATTAATAAACAACAAAATTGCTACTTTTCTAAAGTAATAAGGATAAAGTTAAAATTTGTGAAAGTGCAAGGATGTGTCTATCAAACGCGTCCAGAAATTCGAAGTTTCAATAACTTCCAGATAAAATAAAATTTTTATCAAATTTTCGTATGAAATGCTATAGCAACATACAAGTCATGAAATTAAACAGAAAATTTGAGCAAATATTAACTTCAAATCTGTGTCTAAGTACCTTTAAAAGGGAATAAACGTTTTTTATTCCTAATAAATATTTTATAAACGCATTTGTAGCGTGTTTTTCTTTGCGATATATTTTCGCTATCTCGTGCCCTGAAACAATAAGATAAAAGTATCTTTTATATGAAATTAGTTCCAGGAAATTTTAAAACAAGTGCCTAGTAATTTATTTAACAAAACGGAGTTTTTCCTTTCTTGAATCTTTTAAAATACAGAAAATGCACTATATGCGGAGGATAGATCAACAACTTTCAAATATTCTTCCTGACATTTTCTACATGCAGTTAGTCAAATGCCCATATTTTATTACATCAGATTTCGAAGTGTTTATAATATCGCTACAAGTATGTAAAAATACTATTTAGTAAAAAAGAAAACGCCTGAACAAGTTAAGAAGGGTTCGTTAAAAAACAATTTAATTCATAAAACATATGTACATATCAGAAAACAACAATAATAAATAGTTAGGACTAAACTTTCAGTTAAATTTACAAAGAAATTTATCTGGAACTCTTTTTCAAGAATAAGATATATGACATAGTAAAAAATTCTCAAATTATAACCTGTTCATGAAATTTGATGTTCTAAATAAATGTACTGTGTTGAAGCGTAATTCTGGAGATATAAAGTTAATTAAGAGAAAAATGTATTTACATGCTACTAGCAAACAAATTATTTGTGTCCTTAGGTTTTTCACCTAAAAAGGCCAGACATGAATATGGAATTAAAATTTCACTTTGAGTGTATATCGTTCACTTATATCGCTTACTGTGCTATCCATTCAGAATGGTAATAGTTAGACAAGAATAAATTATACATGTATATCTGTATTCGAAACTCTGTTTTTCTAAGACTGCATCCCCTTGAAGGAAAAATCAACGAAACCTGTCACCACCTGAAAAGAAAAAAGATAGAAATAAGTTCCCAACAAAGCAGGCATTGGTTGACAAGAAACAAAGTCTGATGATTAATGTTCAAACAGTATTGTAGTTTGGTGTTTTCCTCATTATGACAACTTACCTTTTAAATTCTGCGCCTCGGGCCTTTATTATACACCTGAACAAGGTAGATAAACATAGATAATTATACATAATATTTAAACGTAAATCTAGTTATATTTTTTAATTTCAATAAGTCCTCAGAACACATTTTTAAAATAATTTTTAAAGAAATTTAAGATGCATAAAAATTTACAAAGAAAGAAAAAGCAAAGTAGGTAGTATGGTTATCTGCAGATATATAAATATAACAAAAACACATGTATTTATGGCTTAAATATTGAATTAGTGATCTTTATATTTAGGTAAATATTAAAGTGCAAACATAGGAAATGACAAAAGAAAATGCTGAAAATTACCTCTAAATCCCGAGGGATTCTGTAGGAATGATTCAAACAGGTTTTGAAGCTCTGTTCCTGGTAACATAAAAAGTTCAAAAATCAATCTCCAAATTCATTTTTATCTCAATTCTTATTATTTTCTTATGTATACAATACATTACTCTTTAGTACATTTTCTATCATTCGATTGCCAGTATAATTATACTTGTGCTGAAAGGGAAGAACACCATTAATATCAATATATAGAATATGTCTGGGTTTTTATAACCAACAGAAATACTTACATCGAACCATTTGAAAGTGGGATGCTTATTTCTCAAAACAAATGCCCGTTGTGATTTATAATATTCCTAAGAAATGCCAAAATTGTTTCAGATGTAAAAAAAAAAAGAAGCAATCGCACAGCACACAAAATGTAAGTAAATGAGCTTTAGCAAGTTTTTCATATACATTTATTTCGTTTGAACTGCTACTATAGCAAAAAATGCAGCAGAAAAGTTGCTGGGAAATCCAAACTATGACCAAACTAACTAAACAATGCTACAGCTCTCATTTCTACCAAACAAGAAATTAGGAAGCCAATAAAATGGTAGGATCGGGAGAACAGTAAAAGCCACTAATGTCAACTATAAATGTCACCTCTACAATTATCTGATAAACGATTAACAAAATATCATATAAATGAATTTAGTTTTTCTTGGTATATGATCAAAATTAACAATGAACTGCGTCTTCTTTTATCTCAAATTTAAAGCAATCGGAAATAGAACAGGTTCTTATATATATATATATATAGAGAGAGAGAGAGAGAGAGAGAGAGAGAGAGAGAGAGACTATTTCCGCTCTGGTTGGATCCAACATACAGGGTTGCATATACATAATGAACACGTATAGTCTAATCAACTAACAATTCGTATATACATGTACGTAACACGTATAGTCTAATCAACCAACAATTCAAACTACGTCTTTTAAAAAGCAAATGTCCACTTAACTCTTTTAAAATTCTTCTTAAGAAAAAGCCTTGATTACTACTGTTTTGAATTTCCAGTTAAACGTTTCTTGAATTAAACGTTTTTGTAACAAGAATTTGTATTAACTACTTTTGCACATGCTCATGCAGACTTACGTGGACGCCATTGTTGTTGAAATGCATTTCCAAAAAATCCTGATGTCAAAATAATGAATAATTTTTATCTAGTACACACAATGATTTCATCTGATATTACAATACGATTTTCATAATGGCTGGTTGTACAAAGTAAGTTACGAATATGCAATTCCATGTTCTGTGAAAGTATTTCTCACTTTTTTTTGGTTTGTTCTTTTAAATTGCGATGCACTGGGCATCAATCAAGGACATCTGAAGATAGTTGTAAATCAAATGACCACAATTATCAGAAAATATAATTATACCGAAGACATCATAATGCCCTTAACGCATCAGGAAATACATTCTAAAAAACATGCATCTATTCTTTTTTGTATTTATAGACGATTTAGATGATTTCTTTGTACCTTATATCATTAACATTCCAATTCCATTAGTGATTTGGAATATACTTTACAAAAAAAAAAATGAATTTATAATAATGATAAAGTTATCTGCTTTATTATTTAGAGAAATTGCTGCTAATTTGCAATCATCGCATGAATTCTTCAAATAATTAGATCAGCGTACCACTGCATTTCAATACAGAAGCTTTGATCTCACTAACAATTTTATTATACAAATAAATCATTTTTATCGATGATTTTTCTTTTCCTTGTGATATATTCTCGGAATGGCAATTTTTGAATATAATTTATGCTTAACAGGTACCAATCAATAATAACTATTTAGTTTTCAATAACTGTAAGATACACACATTAGATAATGAAAATGATTGAACATTAAAACATATAAATATTAGTATATTATGATTCTAACTTTACAATGCAATATCTTAAACATTAACTAACTGATTCTAAGTAACAAAGAGTAACCAAAATGGGGCAATTGCACTCCCTTCTTCTAAGTTTCAAATATGATCACAACATTTAGAACATAAGTTGTACAAATAATATTAAGTACCGAATTCTAGATATGCCTGTTCTGTTTGTCTGTTTGCTGTTGTTTTTTTTTTTTCAATATAATAATACAATTTTTAATGTTTTAACCTAAATTTCATCGTAAATAACAAGTTTGAAAGATTAAAGCCTTTTCCTGATAACGATCTCTAGAACAACAAAAACCACAAAAAATATATGGAAGAATACGTATGCTTTATAGGTGAATTAACCAACAAAGTCTATTAATGGAATTATTTCGAAATGAAAACAAATTTAGCGCCTGGCATCTAGTGACATGCGTACAACGCATACATTAGAAAACATTTTCACCTATAAGATTACTTAAAACATAATTACTATTCTTATTACATGTACTACCTACTAATCTAATATCTCGTACACTAAACTATATAATATTCCATTTTCATATATTTGTCTTTTTGAAATCAATTCTATTAGATTCACAGAGGATTATTTCTGCAATTGCTTATCGGCTTTTAATTCTATGAACAAACATTTTGCTTCGATTACTGCATGTAAAAGTATTTACACAAAATAATTAGTGTAGATCGCCAAATTTTCGCGACACCATATTTCGCAAGAAAGGTATTAGGTTTTTTATAAGCTAGACAAAATTTTCACGAAATTTGGTTACTGGTGTATATAATTTATACTAATAAAAAATATACTCGAGAATGAAATTTTGGCGAGCAGACCGTCTCGCGTAATTACGCGAAAATAAAGTTCTCGCGAATTAAAAGTGATTTACAGTATTATCCTTGTCCCACTCGGTTAACTATTCCTGCTCTTTTTTACAGAAGAGATCTGACTGGGGAAGTAATTCAAATAGCCTATTGTTCTAGTATCATATTCATCATTTTTAAGGTTTGTAAACTATAGGTTTTTATTCCACTTTGACTTAATCTGGATGCATTTTTATCTATATACAATGTATGTTGAATGTCTTTTGCTTTGACTTCAAAATTTTAGCAGCAAGATTTATCCTTAAAGATTCTTAATCAAATTATAATAAACTCCTTAAAAAGGCAAAGAATTACATTTTGACAATTACCATTCAAAAATCTATCCATTGGCAAGTTATGGCAAGACAAAGAGTGTAGTATAGAAAAATGATTATCACTTCATATACGTGTACTGTTTACTGCTTCTTACACAAATTTATATATGTTACCTGTTGATGAGGATGTTCCAGATGGTGTTCCCGCTGCACTACTTGGCTGTTCCTGTCCGGTTCCTGTAGGACTGAAAGTATCTACTGGAGGAATTGCAGGAACCACAGGCTCTGAAGGGGCTGGAATGCTCCCCGAACTTCCCGTTCCGGTGGACGAAAATGGTCCTCCAGCATTAGCCTCCTGATTCACTTTGTTTGTAAAGTTAGAAGACACTTCAGTTATATACTCTTCAATTATTGCATCTTGTGTGCCTTCTTCGAATAATCTTTCGGCGATAACGTTGCCATTTTCATCTTTAATAGTGATGAGGGTATGGCTTATTTCAGGGTTTCGTGGAACTGATGCACCGTTAGCAAGGGTGCCAGTCTCCCCTGTTGCAACTGGAGATCCAAATCTCTCCAAAGCTTGCTGATTTGTAAGGTGTCCATCAATTGTATGCTCGGACATTGATGGACCAACACTTCCTGGCTGAATTGTTTCTAGTGCTGGTGGAACAGGATTGGTATTAGTATCTGATGATCCTGGGGCTGCTGGAAGTGAACGAATGATGTTTGTAGATGACACAGGTAAGGAATTAGGTGGAATTTGCCACGGGTTAACGACTGGGGGCACCGGAGTTAGATTCACCGGTTGTGCCACAGGCTGTGTTTCTGTTTGTTGATTTATTTGGGAGCCTGGAGCTACTTGTTCTTGTTGCTGTTGCTGAAGGGCCATTTCTAATGCCTGTTGTCTTCTTAAAAGAGATTGTTGTAACTGAAATCTTTGACGCTGTAAATCAATCAATTGTTGCTGTTGTTGTTGCTGCTGTTGTTGTTGCTGCTGCTGCTGTTGCTGCCGAGAAAATGTCGCCGAGTTGTCGGTTGAACCAGAGAGAGTCGTACCTGGTCTATTTTGTCCAAATGAAGGGGAAGTTTGACTGAATGGGGAAATACCAGTCACCCGAGACTGCGAATTTCTTCGGGCAAATAAATCGACTGGAAACTGGGGTATGTTTCTCATTTGCTGAAAATTTGAAAAATCATTTCGCAATGTATCCAGATTGTTTCTGTTAGCTGGTCTTAGAAATCTATTTTGATTTTGCTGTGCAAAGTTATTTGGTAAACGGTTGTTTGGGGGATTTGAATTTGGTGTTCGCTGTACCGCACCAAATGGAGGTCTAACTAAATCATTAGGTTGCCTATTGTTGGAGGGACCTGTATTTCTGTTATTATTATTATTATTATTATTGAAATTCATTCTTTCCGACGTTTGTCGTCCAGGAATCGCTCTGTCGTTTCTGTTATTATTCCAGAACTGCGGAGGCTGGTTGATTGCATTACGTAGTGTACCAGGACCAAAAGGAAAGGGTGGAAATCTTTGAAATGCTCCTGGCGGGGGTGGACCGAACCTCCTAAAGGGACCGTTTCTGAACATAAATCTTCTATCTCTTGGTGGGATGAATTGCGCTACAGAACAAAGAAAATAATATTTGATACCTTGTGTCTATAAAATCATTGTTTTCTTGATTTAATGACGTGGAAATTAATGAGATTTTAATTCAGAGACGATAAGGATATTCATTTGCGATAGATAAAAATGTTCTCTATCATGTTGAAAGAACACTTCCTCGTTTAGAACATTATTCAGTGATTCACATAGTTACAATCAATGTCTTGATTCTGTTTTACAGTTTTATCGATGCTTAACATTGGGTGAAACACATTAAGAATTGGATAAGTCAGCGAATTCATCTATGTGAATGCGTATCTTTTAAGAAAAAGAAAGAAATAATAAATAATTACCTTATAAACCATTAATAGATAACGAACATACTAACAGATAATGCTTTACCTCACAATATTCTGTTCATTAGATCAGATCAGCCTTTTTTTTTAATATAAAAAAGCAAAATCTTTCCTTATTACATGTACAAAACACGTCATAAATCTTTATGTCTGCTAAATAGTTCTAAATGTTAACTTGGTTACACAAAACAATTAAGATTCCTTGAATGATTCATCGCTATACAGACTCACTATGGTGATGTTACTCATGATCCTAATACCAAGTTACATTTATTCAAACCGTAACTAGTACCACTTATAATCTACTCAGTCATATGATGACCTTTTTTTTTAAATATAGAGTAATTTTTTAAGAAATGGAGATTCCTTCTTTTTCAAAATTTTCGCATTAAACGGAAAGGCCATAAAATTCCCCCACATTAAGAATTACCTATCTCAATCTGTCTATTTCCATTTTTTGAAATAAATGTAACACTTCCTTGAACTGCCTTTTAATTCTGCTTGCCTCACTTTGTTTTGCAATTAATTATCTCGATTCAACTATTTTTAAATTGAAATAACATAATGAAAGCAAAAACAATATAATAGACTTAATTGAACAATCACTCACCATTTGTATAAATGAGTCCCTCCAACAGTATCAAACACAGGGGTAATAGATGCATTTTCTCTAATTAAGGAGTGAAAACAAATTAGCACCTATCTTCTTAAAGGTAAACCCTGCAAATAGAAAGCACAGCAGGAAATTACAAACTGTCGTTTCAACAAACAAATGTTACCATCACTGTAATTTAAAATCCAAAGTATGTTGTCAAGAATGAAATCAAGCATGGAGAAAAATTGACGGAAATTACCTTTGCAATGGAGATACAACAAAACGATGTCAGAACGTAAAAAAAAAAATCACAAATCAGAATTCTACGATACTCAAAGTATTTTTTTTATGATAAAGTACTTTGTTGTTTAAACACTCAAAGAAAACAACGAAAATTAATTATGAAGACCCACATTCGTTTAAGTCATATTGATAATGTTTTACGTAGAAAAAAGAAGGGGCTCTTAATTATCTAGCATTATTAAGAGTCATTAATTGCGGTTTTAATAAATACTTATCGTAGTCATACATTATGTAAATTTCACCATGGCAATGTGTCTTTTTGATATTGTACAGTACAACTCTTTTATTCTGATGTATAGAAACATTAACTTACATATCATTAGGTCTTTATAGTATGTCAATATATGACAAAAATACTGAGAGTGGGGAATAAATTCGAGAATAATTGACACAAAGCAATCAAGAAGTTAAACAAATCTACTACGGAAAATACAAAAATAGATTTTAATGATGCTTTTTAACATTGCTTCCAATCAACAAGAAAATATTAAGATTTATGAGAAATACGATTTTGAATTAGCTCATTATGGAAGACTTCATATTAGACAGCTTTATCCTTCTCTATATGTACCTTTCTTTTACTTTTTCATCTTAAAAAAAAAAAAAAAGACTTAATTTTCAATTATCGTAATGTAGTGGCTTAGAGGGTCCCAGTTTTGAAATTTTTTTTCAGATTTATATGAAATCATTCATTTGTCTATAATTTCTTACCTCCTATCATGATTAATGACATCCATTAAAAAAATATTAATTTACAAAAATGTACTTACATATGTACCGTAATAATGACCAAAATTTATAAGATTACACTAATCTTTTGCCAAAACAAATTCCAATCACATGGAACTGAAAACAAATATCAGAGACATACTTTCAATTATAAGTGCATAAAAAGTCCCAAATATTAGACCTCCAGCGGAAAACACAGTTAAGATAATTCCAAGTCAAAATCAGTAGTTTTATAAACTTGAATTATGTAAAACATCATCTGCAAGTACATAACACCATTCAATACTTTAGATTAATGAAGACCTGCATCCACATGTCAAGGGTTTAAAACAGTGTTTGGTTGTAGTTTCTGTACTGGCCACAAAAGGCGCCAAGGTGAGGGGGCAGGGATCCCTGGTTAATGAGACAAAGTTTAAGACATCCTATAAACATCCATTATTACTGGTCCAATGCCTTCCTCGATTCATTTCATCAGGAAATGAACGTTATGCATCCAATGCACAGAACCCACCTTACAGGTAAAAAGATACTCTATTGTTTATCACTATATCTAGTGTGAAAATACGTGTACCTTTGAGAGATTTTTTGTAAAAAAGAAATTCAGATGCGGTCCAAAAAAGGGTCAATAGTTCAAAATTGGGTTTTCCAGGAAAATCGGATGTTTTAACAATATTGGACAATTTTTTTTGTTACAAGTCACTTGTTCTTCGCAGAAAAAAGCTCTATTTATCAACTGACAAGAAAGGTTCAACGGTAGATCCTATTTTGTGGTCAAAGAAAACGAATTTTGACAACTAAATAATAGATGTCCTCTTGAATATGGGGAAAATTCCTTCAGACATAGGTGCATGGTGTAGAATTTTTTCATGGTATATAATGAATGCCAATAGGTTAGGAAGAGCAAATCGATTATTTAATGTCATGATTGTCAATCGATACTCAATTTCCCATTTTTGGTTAAAACAGACAATGCCTTGTTGACACGAAATGACATCAATGGTAAGCGCTGAGAGAGTACCTCATCTCAATAATATCACTCATATGACCCAACTTCTTCTAGACGCCCTTCGTATTATTCGTAAACAAACTCATTTGCCCACAAAAGATATAGAACCTCTAATAACAAATAAATATATCAAAGATCAGGTGTGGGATGAGAATCATGTACTGAATGTCTATTTGATACTTAAGCTGATATATCATTAGAAGCACAAAGAACTCGATGGTCACCTGGTTTTTATGAGAGGGAAGTTTCACATTTTATTGAGGAATCCTTGCTTATAAATGCGACGAAGAAAATTTTAAGTAATTTGTTTAATGTACAATTTGTGGTGAACTTAGCCCCACCCTGGGACTTGGGCCCTATACCAAGTAAATATTTCACATTTTTAGAGACTTTCTTGCCTTTTATCATGATGCATATACTTGGACTGCTATATGTTCAGAAGTTCAAGAAGAATACTCAGTATTCTTGAAGACTGGATTAATTTTGAGCGCTTTGGACACATCCTTAGATCCAGGTGGTTGGGACCATAAAAAATTAGTCCGCCTCAGACTAAGATCTTTTGTTTCAAAATTGATTGAGATAAGTTCTGAATCAGTAGTTTCAAAGAAGAAGCTGGCATTGTTTATAAGTTTACAGACAACAGACAATTAATGACGTAAAGGATACAGGTAGGAAATGGACACCTGAGTAACTCACATGATCTATGATATCGAATTAAAAATGGTTGTTTCATGTCATTGAAGTGAAAATGAATATTTTTTAATTCTCGATTTTATTTCTCTTTGATTTTATTCATTCAATTTTAGAATATTATATGCATTTCATATAGGTAATATAAAAGTGCTAAAAAAGCATAGGGCATATCTTTAAAATCATGCATCTGTATATCAAACAACAGTTTAGCTAAATGTAATTATAAAAATAAATTCTAGAGCAAACTGCTACACCGACTTGAATTCATGATTTTGTTGTTTTACCAAAATAAACATCCAACAACAAAAGGTTCAGGAGATTGTCGACCTATGTTCTCGATGTTTTTTGTATCAGGAAAAGTCTTGCACCTTTGTTTATTACAACTTATTCAATGCTATTAAGACATGAACATCCACTTCACATTTGCTTGTTATCTTACAAACATACGCCCTCTTGGATTCTTGAAGCACTCAAACGTTTTGCACCATTCAAAGAAATACGATAGCCAGAATACTTCTCTTGGACCTCAATGGTGTACTGCATAGTGGTGTATATTAAATTTAAAGACAATTCACCTACGGTAATTCAAATTCAAGAACTGACTGTTCGACTAACCTGTCGATCCTTTTAGAGCACTGATAAGTACCTTGCATGTGCCATCTATAAGCACAACAGTTTTTATTTAATGTTACTCAATAATTTGTAACCTCACTGACCAGCTATGCACCTTCTTTTTTTAAATGAACACCGACCTCTCAATATCATCTACCAATTGATGGAATCTTCACATTTTCTGATACTATATATCATAAGTACCTAGTCTGTGTAAAATGAGATTGACAAAGTATTTAGCATGAAAGCAGCCCAGTAACAATGATGGTCTGGCCTGAGACTTTGATAAGTTATGTTAACTAATGAACTTGTATTAGACAGTGTATAGAAAATAAAAAAAGTTTCAGTTAAAAAATAGACTTGTTCAAGCCTCGTTGATTTACTTTAAGTGATCTCTTTAATACTTTTTGATGATGTCAAACATAAAGGTCTATGTTTGACAACATTTAAGCCAGGTAGAGAGCAGAGGAAACATAAATATAAGATTTAGCAAAAAAAATTATTTAAAAAAAAACATAGAGACTGAAGCAAATCTATTAAAATAATTAAATAAATCCTCTTCATCTTTGAAGTGAAACTACAGTGTATTCTTTCTTTGCATAGTTTTTGATAACAATCTAGAACCTGTAGAGTTTACACAATGATGTCACCTTTTGACCAAGCATTTGTATAATGACTTCATAATATTTACGTAATACCTGCAAGATATGTGCATAACATGAGAAGGCATCATTTTATACCATCAATTATAATAACAATACTTCTGTTGCATTTTGACTGATGACTGCTATTTATCTGTGCAACATTTTAATCAAGCAATCAATCAAAAAAGTATTTCTATTGGGGTCAGCACTTTTATAAAAATCGTCAAGTACTTTCTTTCAGATTCCATAACCGTTGCATTTAGAAAACATTTTTTCCCATTTTTGATCTTTCCTCTATCTTCCTTGCTATTTGTCTGTATAATTTAAAAACCTAAAATGCCAAAAATTCCCCCCGTTTTTTAATCACAATATGAACTTATTGCTTCATTTAAAACGAAGGGTTTTTTTCCTGGCAGTGCTCTGCAACTGTGATCGAGGACATTCTCTTTTTCTTCTAAATACAGGAAAACATATTCTAATTTCCAATTCACGACTATATTATATAAGGACAAAAGTAACATGTATATAAAGACAAAGGTAACACGTATGTATGTGCATGAAAAGTTTCATCGGAAAATGTTTCCGAGAGATGGGTCCCAAATGACAAATCACCTTGTCGCGTCCATTGTTCTACTATATTCCGTTGCGTATTGAGAAATGGAACTTCTTATCATTCTTTGTCTAAATTATGCAAGGTGTATATACACTTAGTTTAATTGATGTATTATATTTTAAAGTGCTTAAGGTCAAAAGTAGCACGTGATTTAAAATGCACATGCTTAATACACGTTATTAGAATAAGCATATTTTTTGTTGTTTTCTAATTACTGTTATCTTCTGAATCAATTTTAATTATCTTTTATAAGGAGTGTTCTAGCCATTTAAGCATTGAATTCTTATTTTTGGATGTCGTCGGTCCTATAACACACCTGGTCGTGCCGACAAATTGAATACTTTTACTTGAATAATATATTTGATGATTTCAATTTTTTAAGCAATATGATTTTTAAATCCTCTGTTATGATGACTTGATTTACACATGTCCTTAAACTCTCTGAATTTCACTCTAGTCTAATAAGACCGGAAAAAATTTTCAAGTAACTTTCTGTTAAACACTGTAGTAAATTCATCAAAATAATATTTTTGTTTAATTTCCATATAATTGTGCTTTGCAACAGATGGATACATGAAACCTGTTACACTAGTAGCTATTCATCGGATGACAAAATGCAAACTATCTATCCTTCCGTTTTCAGCAGACCGGAAGTGATGAAAGAATTAAATAAACAATATTTTTAATATTCCTTTGCGAAAACTTCTAAGTACATCCATATATAAGTGATCAAGAACTATTCAGCGGATGACAAAAAGCAATCTATCATCCTTCTGTTTTAGTAGACCGGAAGTGATAAAAGAATTAGAAAGACTACATGAAAAATATGTTATGGTTCCAACTGACAAAGCTTGTAATAACATACTCTTTGTACAGCTCATTATTACAACTGCATTTCAGGAGAACTTGGTTTTAATGGGAACCACATTCATCTGGTAATCCAACCAATACACACAGTTCCCTTTCAAAGGATGAAATTCTTCAAAATCACCTTTCAGTTTTAAATACGTTTAATATTCCTGTCAACAGAAGTCAATTTGATTTACAGTACCTAAACTTCATATAAATCCTTGCAAACAAAGATATATTGCAGGGTCAAGTGGATGTTCAACCAAGCCCCTATCCTTACTCCTAACCAAAATGTTAACTGCTGTGAAGGAGAAACTTCAGACCTATTGTTCTACAACATATTCAAGAAGTGGTGCAAATCAAATGTGGCTTCTAAAAGAACTCCTAAGAACGTTTGGGAATTTTAAAATCTCAAAACTTTTCAAACTCCAATAGCATCAAAACATGTGACTTTTCTACGTTTTATACAATGAAATATGTGGAGATAACGAACAGTATTCGAGCTCAAAAGTCAATTAAACATTACAAAATAGGACCATTCCTCACGACGAATTAAATGACAGGCTTTTTGACATCATAAACGACTGCTTCCTCAACAAAAATGGAACTCGAAAATTTTCATATTTTGTGATTGGTTATCTAAAAAATTGTTAAAAACCAGTCTGATTCTATATACAAGTTCTATGAAGTTGACAAAAAGATGCTAGAGTTCCTCATAGACAATATCTATATATATAAAGACCAGGTCTTCCAACAATATGTTGGAATTTCGATGGGCATTAATTATGCTCCTTTATTAGCCAATCTGTTTTATGTTCCTATGAAGCAAAATTTATTCAAAAAATTTCCTTAGGAAAAGAAGAAAACTCTCGCTGTGGCCTTCAACTCAACATTTAGATATATCGACAGCGTTCTATCAATTAACAATAGTTACTTCCATTCATCTGTTGACTCGATGTATCGAAGTGAACTCAAAATGAAAGACACTAGAGAGTCTGTCACATCTGTTTCATATTTGGATGTTTTACTGATTTTTGACGATCACGGCCAACTAATAACTAGACTGTATGACAAAATGTAATGACTTCAACTTTTCCATCGTCAACTTCCCTTATTTATGTAGCAATATTCCAACAACACCTGCATAGTGTTTATGTCTCCCAACTGATTCGATATGTATGGGCATGCTCTGATTATGATTAATTTTTAAACCGAGGGAAGCTACTGACAAATAAGTTGATATGATAATGATTTCAATAACTCCTTTTAAAATCAGCTTTTTTTGCAAATTCTACGGTCGTTATGATGACCTTATTTATCAATATAACCTATATTGGGTGGTATTTTGTCTGACATGTTTCATATCATTTGTCTGGCCATTTCCTTTATACTAAATTTGACTACGGTGTACTCCGTCTACCTGATCAATACATAGGGCTCACGGTGTGTGTGACCGGTCGACAAGGGATGCTTACTCCTTCTAGGCACCTGATCCCACCTCTGGTGTTTTCAAGGCTCCGTGTTTTTGCCCTGATTACCATTTGTTTCATTCACTGTTCGTTATCTTTACTTTTTACATGGTAATTATCATTAGAGTCACTACTTTATATGCTAAAATCTACAAATAAACCTTAGACATTTGTCATTAAATGCACAGTAAATGCACATTTACTTGAAGATTTTTCCTTGCCAAATGTAAATATAAGAAATGTATTTTAGTTTATGAAAATATTACCTTAAAAAGTTCATGAAAGTATGATCGACCCCGGGCAAATTTGTCAAAGTGCATCTATTAGGCGCATCATAAGATCATATTCTGTAACGGTTCTACTTTCATGAACATATGAAAACGATTCTAAACGATTTGCAAAACAAATGTTTTGGTACATAATGATCGTTGAACATGATATTAGTTTATTTTCGGTAATTGGTCTTTATTTTGCATGATTAATAAATCATGAAAGACAGAAATCTTCACTTTATTTTTCTTGTAACTTAGACTTGTTCTATATAATATAATATGATTTAACATGATTGAAACTTATATTTGATTGAAACAAATTAATACCCCTCTGGAACTTCAAGTATCCTTTTATTTAAGGACTATGTAAATTACAAAATTATTTAAAAATAATTAAAATCTATAAATCTGAAAAGAGACCATTTGATAAGAATGATTGAACTCTGTGTATAGAAATATTTCTTTTAATCTTGTAAATGTTCCCTTTGGGGAAAAAAATATAAAGATCGTGTTTTATGTGCATATCATGTACCATGTGATTACTAAAAAAATAAGTACATGAATATATCTAAATGTTTTTTCTGAAAATTAAGTTAAAATTAGTTAAAAGAGAGTACTTTCATAGGTAAAACTTTGTTGAATAAAATATCAATAAAATTTAATATAAATCAAAGTTGAAACTGCAATTGTTTGTCATTGGATGATAATAGTAAGAAATTTTAATAATTTATTAACATCACTTTCTTGTTTGCCCAAAAATGAGTTATAAGATATTAATTAAGAAAGGATACGTAATAACATTGTACAGGCAAGGATAGTGCTGTCATGCATGTTTTAAATTTTGTATTTAGTGGCACAAGGTAAATTCAAATTTACAATTGGACCGTGATAATTGACATCTTACCCCTATTCACGCATAATTTCTCTCCGTTTCTTCAGGTCTCAAATGTCCGTATATCCTAATTAATCAGTTCAACTGTTAAAGACTCTCCTGTATTTGCCAAACGTAAATCGCATTTTTGATTCATATAACCACTTCCATTTACCTAGAAAACCTGGTAATTAATACAACATAACTGTAGAGTTGGAGCATGTAAAAAATCCCTGGAATAGACCAAATATCGATATGCAGAGAACTGCAGAAAGGTGTTGTTATGGCGTGATATAATTGTACGACAATTGGTCTTGTCTTACGTTTCCCTCGGGCAACAAAGCTTCGGGCTCGTCTGCGGACCTGGTGTCGAATTAACCATTACAGGCATCTATAAATCGGACAAGAGACCAATTGATAAGATTGATTGAACCCCGAGTAAAGAAATCTTTCTTTTCGCCTTGTATATGTTCCCTCTGGAAAAAAATATTTATATCGTGTTTTATGTGCATACCATGTCCATGTGATTACAAAAAATAAGTACATGTGATTTATCTGAGTATTCTATGAAGAGTGCATTTCCATTTTATTTTGTGCCTAAGACATCTTATTTCTGTGAGTAAAATTCAAAAGAGCCTCGGAAGACAAAGAGGAATAACTTATTTTACATATTTCTGAAAAGATAATATGTGAGGAAGGATATTCATCTATTCTTGAAATTAGCATGAAACATGGTATTTGACAAAATATCCTTTTTAAGTAAAATTTTCAGTACATTTTAATCTTCCAAATACGATTTAAAAGTTTTGAAGCAAAGTGGTAAAGTCAAATCTGATATTTATACCTAAAAATTATTTATCTATTTTTCTCTCTTAAAAAGAAAACTTTTTTGGTAATCAATTTTTTAACAAGAAAATTCTACATTGCTGTGCCAATTCACATTACTGAAATAGATGTTAACTGCTTTCGGATGTCCTCTATATCATGATCATTTATGATCTACGTGTACTATGTGACAAAAATAGCATTGAATTAAGAGACATTTTAGTGAATTATTTATAACTTAATTGCTGATTAAAGAGAATCTGACGGATGTAAATCTTTAAAAGCCAATTACAGAAAAAAAAGAACAAAATAATTTATTAACATAAAATAAAATATCTTTAAAGGAAAAAAAAAAACAAGAGGTCGATGGGCCATATCGCTCACTTGAGTTACTATGGACCTGCTGTTCTCCATCAGCAGATTTTCCCCTTATATATCCTTAAGTAAAACTTTGATCACATTTTGTGGCCCGACATTACCCCCCCCACCCCCCACCCCCGTGTCATAAATTCAACTATTTTGAATCTACACTATCTGAGAATGTTGCCATATAAATACATGCATGATTAATCATGGCTTTGTTGTTCTTGAGTAGTAGAGTGATTTAATAAAAAAAATCTTGTATACTTTGATCGCCATTTTGGCCCCACCCTACCCGAGGGTGGTACGGGCATGATTTTAACAAACGTGAATCTATATGTGGATGCTTCCATATAAATATGACATCATGGCTTTGCTGTTTTTGAGGAGATAGTTTTTAAAGATTTTTCCTATATATTCCTTTGTTAAACTTTAGTCATCTATTATGGCCCCCGCCCTACCCCGGGGGTCATGATTTGAATAAATTTGAATCTACATTATGTAACATGTATGAAGATTTCAAAAAAAGTTCATCTTTGCTGAGCCAGTTTTACGTGTTAGATCACTGTTCTTTATTTTCACCCTTTTCATTCCGAAATTGTATTAAGAAATCTTTGAAAATAAAAAAAAATATATTTGAGGCTAAATTTGAAGATGCTTGAAAAAAAAAATCCCCAAAGAAAATTAAATCACTAGTAAAACAATGAGTAACTTAAGTTTTTTTCATCAGATTTTTAAAAGATTTATTTATTTATTTATTTTTTGTATCCCAATGAAAAATGTCCACCCCATATAAGTTACGGCCCCTCTTCATAACTTTGTGGGTCTCTAAATCCAAACAACATAGGGATGCTTCAATATCAATATGACTGAAATATCCTTGCAGTTAAGGAGAAGAAAATTATATATATATATATATATATATATATATATATATATATATATATATATATATATATATATATATATATAGTCCTTTTAGCATGCGCATAGAAGTGAGGTTTGTACATGCATAAAATGGAGGTACTTCGCGATCGCGTTTTTAAACCATGTGCGAACGATATATACCATAAAATAAGCATTCATAAACATGGCAGCTCTTTGGCGTTCGCTGAACAAACATGTCTATAAGCAATATCTTGGTTTGAGCAGTTGGGGCTTCACCATTCACTACACACTAGTTAAGCATGTTCAAATATTGGCAGAACTTCTGATTCTTCTGCGCAATCGCAAATGCTGCCCAGGTTAGAGCATACATTAACATCACCACACCTTTGCATCCTCTGATCATGTCTATGCCAGTTTAGAGCTTTTCTGTATATCCACGCATGTATGATCCATGCCCCATGCATGAGTGATACCATAGTCTGAGCACGGTACATATTGTCGTTTTGTGCAGAGAGGGTAGGTACATATTGTCGCCGACGACAATATGTACAGAACGACAATATGTACCGTCACACACTGCATTCTCTGAAATGTTTGAGCATCACAAGGTCCTTACATTGTAACTCTGCTTGACAACTATAGTATACTATAATACAAGCATATCTAATTAAAAGACAATATTTTTCAGATTAATTTCTCCCATTTTTATTGAATAAAATGGAAATTAATCCGATTTTCATTTCCAAAAATCTGGCAATTATTTTTCAGTTTTCCATATTTTCACAAAATAAATAAATTTGTAAAACAAATTAAGATTCTGAACTCAATTTATTTTTAATTTGCACAAGTATAAATTTACACAAAGAAAGTGTGAAAAATATGACAGGTTTATTAACCATTCCTATTTTAATGTAAACCTTTTGTCTCATTTCTTAAAGCATTGCCTTCTTCTTTCTCTGTGTATGATTTCTATCAGTTTATTAACCTGTTCCTCCAGAAATGAACTCATGTGTTAAAATTTCTTTTGATAATTCATAACTGGCAAAGAATGATCAGTGCCACCAAGTTGCAATTTGCCTGTATGAAAAGGTCCCCTTTGCATTTTTTCATTTTATAAGTTAATCTTTAACTCAGAGACTTCTAATTAACAACAAGCCATGACACCAATACTGCAGTATCATTAAATTCATATTTGCCAAGAGCAAATGTCTGAAACAATGATAGGTTACAACTCTTCAATAAAACGTCTTCCTCTGGGTGAAATACGGAGATAACGAACAGTATTCAAGCTCAAAGTCCATACAAACAATACAAATCGGGAGCAGAGCAGACCACAAAAAACATCAGAAGTGGGATCGGGTGCCATGGAGGAGTGAGCATTCCCTGCCGACCGGTCAAACCAGCCGTGTGATCCTTGTCATGATCGGGAAATAACGGAAAAATCCGTCGACAATTTAGTGTGTAAGTAATGGCCTAACAACCAGTATGAAAAACGTCAATCAATATATGCCCCATATGCAGGTGATAAGGGTATATTGCTGCATAAATAAGGGAAGTTGACGATTGAAAAGTTAAAGTCATCACGTTTATCATAAAGCTTTGTTGTTAGATTACAATTAACGTCTTTTTCTAGTAAAATAACCAAATATGTCAGACTCTGTGGATCATAGAACATGACAACCAAATAGGACTTCCCAACTCCAATACAAGGAGTTAGAAATTGATCTCTCTCTCTAGACATCTCTTCCTTTGAAGGAAAGAAACACTACGGTCTTTGGAATAAGATGACTGGAATTTACCGATACAAGTTTCTTGACTTCAGGTTCATGTCTTCTGTCCTTTCTTCTCTTGAGATGACTGACTGAGCTTCAATTTTAAGTTCCACTATTTAATCACTGTTTAGGATTGCTTGTACACTTCCATACCAGACTTCATTGCTACCTTGAAAATTAATTGAAAATCTATATGTTTGGGTTTTATCAAAACTTGTAATTACCTTGTTCTTTATACAAATCGATACTATACATATGCCTGGAAGTAATATACATTTAGATAAAACAAGCCAGAGGTCTCTGAAGAGATTGTAGCTCTACTTATAAAATAGATGGAATGAAAACAACATATATGAAAGCATGATGATGAGAGGCTTGGCATACTGTTTTCTTTTAAAAGAAATACTCCAATATGTATATGTTGGCTACCTATTTTTGTATCTCTATTTTGTCCTGTTGTCTTGCAAGAAGGATCATCATAAAAACATTTGTCATCCATTAAACCACAGTTCTCGTCAACATTGAAGTTTCCTGTGATTGCTAACTTTCCAAACAAGTGATTGGTCATTACCACAGCGAGCTCTGTCTCACTCTTTATTTCTGGGTCAATTTCTAGGGGTTTTGCTGAAATAAGACCAAAAACAATTATCAAAAATAAGGGAAGACACAAAATACATGCAATAAAAATACTATGTATAATTAGTTATCTGTTTTAGAGTAATAGCTTGTTGAAGTCTAGCTGCTTGCTACTTATTTGTGTTGAACAACTTTTACTTTATGCTGTATACCATCTAGAAAGTTAACTATCGTTGGTGTATCCTGTCAGAGAAATTCATTTTCAGTCAATATAAACAGATGTTTTTTAAATACCATATCATTCAACATATCTTGTCCTTTACTTGCATACATGGTAGTTTTTTTATGATTATCATGCCCCCCCCCCCCCCCCGAGACTTTGAAAGAATTTTTATCAAACAAATCTCCTATTTCACTTTTTGACTGGACACATATTTCAGGTTTCCCATAGCAAAAAAAAAAAAAAAAAAAAAAAAAAAAAAAAAAAAGAAAAAAAGAAAAAGAAAAATGGACACTGCCATTTTATCTTAATTACATTGAGATTGTGCACCTCCTCCTTTATGTTTTGATCAGACAGATATTTGTGCTTTCACACATAGCAAAATATGAACTTTGGCAATATAATCAAATGGGAGCGGGGTATCATTTGTGAGCTCAGTGCTCACAGTACCTCTAATTACACATAGGGTTAGCATGAAACAGGAATTTAAAAGCTCTTTAAACCACTATGTTTGAATAAATAATAAATTGTTTGAATTATTCAAAATTATATTTTGATAGGGTTA